ACTTGAATGATCTCATTTTATATATAAATTATCTTTATCACCCACTCTCTCTCTCTCTCTCTCTCTCTCTCTCTCTCTCTCTCTCTCTCTTCATCTCTCTCACTCCATATGAATATATTGGGCCGCAAGCATATTTTGAAAGCATAAATTACGTTCATTTTTTTCATATTCTTATTCTGCATATATTCTGCAGAGAATATTCACATATCAAATTACTTTATGGTAAAGAAAGAATTATTTGCTTTCCTTTCCTTTCATTCATCTTTCCCTATGTAAAAGATAACCTAATTTTGCTCGATGTTTGCTGGAAAGAATTCGTTCGTTCATTCATTCATTTAATTAGCATCATCTGATAGGAAAAAAACATCGATTATATCGATTGATTGAAAATTAATCGATAGTTGAAAGAAGAAAAAAAGAAACTTACCAAAAAAACTGAACCAGGTATTGCAAATGTTTGTTTAAATAAATATGCAGAACAAAATAAAACAAAAACATAATTTGAATGATTTTTTGAATAAAATGATAATATCCGTGCTAAACGTTTCAATTGTTTAATGTTGCTTGGAAATGCTAAAACAATGATTGGCTTTTCATCATCATCATCATCTGCATTGGGAATATTTCCGGAAACATTGGATTCGGCTTCATTGCTAAAAATGGGAAAGAAAAAATCGATAATTTTATTTTAATTTCAAACTTTCGGGAAAGTTTTTTACACTCTCTCACTTTTGGAGGAAAAAAACAATAAAAAAAGTAAAGTTTACCCAAAAACAAACAAATTCAAGAATGATGAAAAACTTTTACATTTTCATTGAAACATTTTAACATTCACAGAAGAACAAAAAAAAAAGAAAAGAAAGGAAGGAAACAAAAGTTAAACACTTGTGGTGGAAAAAGGTTAATCAGGAATGTTTCCCGTATGTTAAACATCTTCTCATAAAATTCTTTTTCGAAAACATTCCTTGAGGCAACAAAAACAACAAAGTGTCAAGTCTTACAAGCAATTTTGATTAGCTGCTGCTATTTCCACCCGAATAACACTTAATTATGCAAGATTTTTGTTAAAGTTTTCCCTATTTCGCCAAAAAAGCAGCGAGGCACAGGTAAAGAAATTAATTTTTGTAAATTTACCTTTGCTGATTATCCACGTCGATTTGATCATTGATATCAGGTCGTACGATTTGTACCAAAAATAATAACCATAATATTGATGCAAAAAATATCAATAATATCGATAATAAACGTAACCAAATTGTAAATTTATTATAATTTTGAGCCATAATTATTTGTAATTTTAATTACAAAAAAAAACCATAAATATAGTCGTCTTTCTTTCTAAATAAATTTGAAATTAGAAAAATTCAGAAAAATTAAAAATTTTAATCAAAAAAATTCTTTGAAAAATGTACAAAGAATTTCGGGAATTTTCTTGAAAAAGGAACATTTGAAATTCTTTTTCTTCCAATTCAATCGATTTCAGATTCCTTTTAATTCTTTTGATATTGATTTTTGTTCTTTCTCTCTCCTTTACTTTTCATTACTAGAGTTTCATTTACACACTTCTAAAAACTCTTTCCCCACATTAGAATCCCGGAATTCATTTAAATTTAAATTCAAAAAAGAAGAAAAATTCACCATGTGAAGTGTACGGAATATGGAAAAAAATGAAAAATGAAATAACCAAATTCAAATGGATGATGAAGAAAGAAAGAAAAACTATCATTAATTATCTACTTAATGAACCGTTTTATTAGGGTTTTTTGTTTTGGTTTTTTTTTCTTCATTCAAAAATGCAAAAACGAAAAACAAAAATTCTGCAAAGCATCATCAAACCAGAAGGAAGCCACTAGACAAAACACTAAATGAATGAAAAAGTTTTTTCGGAAAAAGAAAGTTTCTGCGAAATTGCGAAAAAAAAAATTTCATAGAGAAAATGGTATCGCCATCTTTTGAGTTGAACGAATGTATATTTTTTTTTGTCGAAGAAACAAACCAAACAAAACATTGGATTTTCCTCCTCATCATCATTACCTGAGAAGAAGAGGAAAAAAAGAAAGAAGAAAAAATCAATAAAGGTATGGTCATCATCATTATTATTATCCGGTAATTTTCCGGAAATTTTCCCGGAATTCCATAATAATAATAGTAATAAGTTTAGTTTAATCAAAGATCAGACAAACAAACAACAACAACAACAAAATCCAATTAGACAATTTTTTTTTCTTTTTGTTGCATATAACTATTGAATTATTGTCAAAGTGATATTGATGATGATGATGATGAGAAAATTTGATTTTGGATTCTTCCTTGTTTTTTTGTAGATGATAACATTATCATTATTATGGTAATGAATGAATGAATGTTGTTCATTTTTTTCGTTGGTTGGCTGGTTGGTCAAAATGTCATTAGGAATAAAAAGAAAAAAGAAGAAGAAGAATATTCTGCAAGAAGTTTTCTGTAAAATTGAATGAATTTTTTTTGTTGTTCTTGATATTCTGTCTGATACCGATGTGTCCACACACAATGTAAACGAAACGAAACGAAAAAAAACAAATTGGTTTTCCAAGGAAAGAAAAAAAAAAACATTATCATTTGTGGACATGCATGTTTGGTGTTTCGACCCAAACCAAATGTATCGATATTTCATTTTCGTAAAAACCAGAAAAATGAAATGACTAGATTACAACAACAACGACAACAACAAATCTTTGTCCTCGTCGACAACAACAAAAAAGTTTTTTTCATTATTTAAAAAAAACAACAACAACAACAAAAACTTGTGTAATATTTTTTTTTCAATTCTATTCACAGAATCTGTGTATGTAAACACACACACACACACAGAATACAGAATACAGAATACAGAATAAACAGAATGATATTATTAATCTCATAATTCCATATGTCAAGAATATTATTATTATTTACACCAAACACCAAAATTGAACAACAAAATGGAATACATTTTCATTTGGTTGTTGTTGTTGTTGTTGTTTGGTCATGATTTAAATTCAAAACAACAACAACAACAACAAAAATTTATCTCTCTAAACACACCACCACCATCATCATAAGAATACAAGAATAATAAACATACCACCGAACCAGAAACGAAACGAAATTTTTGAATGAATGAAAAACCCGACATTAACAACAACAACAACAACAATGAAATTGACATTCGGAATTTTTCATTTTTCTGTGATTCACTTTTATTCTGTGATATTCTTTGATTCTGTGAAAATTCTGTAATTCACTTTGATTTCTATAAAATTCTATGTATGGTATGATAATAATAGTCATTTTTTATCAATTTGGATTCTCTCTCTCTCTCTCCATTTAGAATCGAGAGAATCCAAAGAATCAAGGAATCAAAATTCAAGAGTTTTTTTTGCTTGCTTGCATTCACATTTACGCTATTATAACCGATCTATCCATTTCTCTGTGTTCTATTTCGACAGTGTATGTCGCCAAAAAGATATAACCATTTTGAAATTGGAAAAAAATGATGATCATCATCATCATCATTACAAGATTTGTTTGAAAAAATATCTCAAGCAGAAAATTTTGTTTTTATCAATTTTTTCGATTCCGTTTCGTTTCAAATTCAGGAATAAAAAATTGAATAAACGAAACGCAATGAATGAATGCTTGATTTGGTTTGGTTTTTTTTGGTGTTGTTAACGGAATTCTGTGTGAGAGAGGGAGGGAGGGGTTAAATTTTTTTTTAAATTTTTAAAGTTAATCGGGGAAAACCAAAGCAAAAAAAAAACTTTTCCATAAAATCAAATTATGATAATCATCGATGATTTCTGAAAAGTTTCTCCAAAACACCCCTTACACTTTTACACTTTTTTTTTGAATCAGAATTTTTGACTCGAAACAGAAACTTTTCTTCTTCTTCTGCTTCTTGGAATAAATTCTTGTGCTACAGAATCAGAATCAGAATGGACAAAGATGCGAGTGAGGGGGGAAATGACAAATTAATGAGAAATCGATATTTCATCAATTCATTTCAATTCAATAAAATTCAATTTCGGTTTTTTTTTGTTTCGATTCATTTGATTTTTTTTTCATTTCATTCAACCGTTCAGCCATTCATTTCTTTTTTTTTCGGTAATCACATATTGACTGTGAAGTGATATTCAATTCAATCAACATAATCACCAAAAAAACATACAGACATCCATTTGATGATGATTCGATATTGTTGTTGTGAGATAAATCGATTTTCATTTTTTGCAGCTTCGAAAATTCTGGGGGTGGGGGAAAAACATATTTCCAGAATCGAGAGAATCAAGAGAGAGTCCAGAGAAAGAATCAATGAGAAATGTGTGATTGATTCGTTTCGGAATTTTTTGGCTGGATTTTTCTTTTTCTTTTTTTTTTCGTAAATTCAATTCTCAGAATATTCATCGGTCCAGAAAAGATTTTTTTTCTCACAAGTGTCACAAATGTAATTTAAAATGAAAAACAAAATTCAAAGTGAAAAATCAAGAATAATCTTTACACGAATGAATGATTTGAGAGAATAAATTAATGTCATCAAAAAGAAAAAAAAAATTCGTTTTGTTTTGTTTCCGAAAATTCCGAAAATCAAGAATTTCCGGAATCGAAATTGGTCTATTTTGACTATTTGTTTTTGTTGGTTTGACTATTTCAACCCATCATGATCACTGAGTAGAATTTTTTTTTTTTTGGATGATGATTCCGGATGACGAAAATCAAAACGAAAGAAAACAACATTGACATTGAAAGAAACGAAAAAAAAATAACGACCTTCATTTGGTTTTCGATTATTATTATTATTCGATTAGATTTTGGTCAGAACCAAGATGAAAAAAATGTTTGGTGAAACTATAAAAAACCAGAACATAAAAAACCAAACAGAATCCAGAATATTCTTCCTGGTTTCCTTGTTGTTGTTGTTGTTTTTTTATTCCTAAACATTATTTAATCATTAGCTAAGGGTGTGGATCATCATCATCATCATCATCGTTATTGTAATCGAACGGAATCATTTTCGTTTATTTATTTATGAAAATATAAGAAAATTATGGATCGATTTACAAATCAAACCAGAAAAAGATTCTAGGTTTTTTTTGGCTGAAATTCTTGATGAAATTAACTTTGATTTTGATCTTGCCAAATTCTGGTTACTTACATTGATTTCTTTATTTGGAAAAAGTTGATCAAATCAGGTGATTCGAATGTTGTTGTTTGATTTTCGATGTAATTCCAAAATGGGATCTTCGATTGATTACTTTATCACAAACAAAAAACAATTGATAAAAGTGCAGAGAATTAAAATGAAAAACTAAAAAAAACTTTAAAAATTTCTTAAAAAACAAAAAAACAAAATCCAAATTCCCAAAAAACAAAAACAAAACTGTAAAATTTTCTGTCCTAACATTTATGATTAGCCCATTTTATCACACAGAAAAAAACATTCGATTCATTACTTTG